ATACTCCATCCTAGAAAATTTACTTATATGCAGAAGTTTAATCATATGGAAGATCAGATTCAAAGTCATAATTTCGAGTTTTTAAAGTCATTATTATGAGATACAAAGTCATCATTTTGACTTTAAAATGTCAAAATTATGAGATACAGTCATATACCTTTGTATCTCATAATAATGACTTTAAAAACTCGAAATAATGACTTTGAATCTGATCTTCCATATGATTAAACTTCTGCATATAAGTAAATTTTCTAGGATGGAGTATTAGACTTGTTCATTATGTGAATAAAAACGTAACATTACAAAAAAAATAAGACATATTACTATGAAAATGGAACTCATAATATGAGACAATTGATTTATCAACCAAGATCAGCCAGACTGCAGCAAGCAAAACATTTTTTACTCACGTGGAAGACAACTTTTTAATGTAAGAGTTTATATTTAAGTAGGCTAATAATCAAATCTTGTATTGTGGCATTATTCTAGGGGCTGGCCAAAAGCATAAGCAAACTAGGCAACTGCTTAAGAATCATGGGGCAACTATGGGGCCCAGGTTCTCCAAGAATTATTGTTTTTGGTGTTCTGTTTTTCTTTTTCATGTATTTCTATGTCATTAGACTAACAAAAAAACAAAAAACACACACACAATTTCATGATTTTTATCCCCTTTTATTTTTACATTAATACGGATTTAATTATGTGGAGCTTTTGTTTATTCATAAAAAGGTCATTTTCCTTATTTAAGAACATGCTTGATATTTATTCTGTACCTGATTTATTTTTGTCTGTTTTTGTATAATTTCACTAATATTTATTCATCCAGGCTTTTTATTTGTTTGTTATTGTCCTACAGGTTACTTTTGCCTATTGTTTTTGCAGTTGGAATCAAAAAGCATAAACCATATGATACTTTTACTGTAAATAAACAGCTTATTTGTTTCATTTATTATGTTCAGCAAATACATAACAGACTGTAAACAGCAGCACCAGGGCTGCAATGAGTATATAGCTGTAAAAATGACCTGTATATAACTATAGATCCTGTATTCTGTATATATCTACCTGCACCTTCAACACCAAGTCAAATTCCTTTTAAGTGCAAACCTGCTTAGCAGTAAACTTGATTCTGATTCTGTAGCATTGTCATAGCGCCACCAGATGGCCCACCATATGTACTGCAGCATTTTCAGTCGATTTTTGTGCATTTAAAAGTTTTTATGAAAAGATACCATTTTCATCTTTGTGACCAAAAATGTCTTCCTGACTTTATACAAAGTTGCCTCTAGATGGTAGCATCACATTTTAATTAAGGTGACAACTTTCTTTTGCTTTGCTATTTATAAACAAACATCCTTTTCACCTTCAGCCTGAATATTTAAGGAAAACACAAAACATATCAACGTATTAGGATTTGGTTTATTTTTGAACAAACAGAAAACACATAAAATCTTTCAAACTAATAATTACATTTCCATCTGAAGATTACTGATGCAACTGCACAGGCAAGTTTTCATCACAGAAATAGCACTCCAAATTGATTATCTATATATATATATATATATATATATATATATATATATATATATATATATATATATATATATATATATATATTTATTATTACAGGTAAAATCAGTTAAAACAATCTTTTTGTTAAAGAAGAAACATTAGCCTACTAATACAAACCATGAAGTAGGACACTAGCACTAGTTCTACACACATTTTAAAGTTTGCATGATCTAAAGATCAGTTATCTTATAGAAAAGTTACTGATTTATAGGCCTGCAGGCTTCCCAAACCCTCCAGAGATAAGAGTTTCAGAAGCAGAATGTAATCTTGAATCTGATCTCAGTGAGAACTGTATCTGGAGTTATCTCTGGTCTCAATGGTCTTGATTAGCAGTTTTGGAGCCGGAGAACTGCTGCTGCTGCTTCCCTGGTAGCCATTGCTGTACTTTGGAGCTGGAAAGAAGCACAGAGAGCGAAAAATAAAAAGAAACAAATTTCAAAATATTTTTATTTCACAGATTCACCCTTTTTTAGGAAAAAAAAAGCAACTTAAGGTTGTTAAATGTAAAGTATTTTCCTCATTGTTACTTACGGGGGCTGGAAATGCTCTGGATGTTAAGGATGGACTGTTGGCCAAGTCTGAACAGGAAGAGAAGAAAGTTTCATGCTTAGAGCTCAGTGATATTACACTTCCCTCTGTTATAAGGTGGGAATATGCCGGCATGTATTAATGGCATTCTGAATAACATCTGTAACTATTTTTATTTTAAACTGATTGATTTAATAAGACTATAGCTTTACTTAATTTAAACTTACTAATTGATTTTGACGTTTACCCAATTCTACAGATTCATTAAAGCAGTGATTAACTGGAAATCAGACTTTTTCTGGTTAAAAAGTGTTTGTTGGTGTTAAGCTTTAGTTAAAACCTGCTAGATAATCTGGAGTGTGAAACTGTTTTTTTGTGGGCTCTTAGTTCCAACCAGAAAAGTCCACAAGGGGGCACTATTTGGTCCTCCTGTATTTACATCATTCATGGAGAGATGCTAACAATAGCTTGCCTCGCTTTTATCACTCCTGTCTCTATTCCAACAATCAGGGACTCACCTGCAGGCAGTCAGCAAGGCTTAATGTTTGTGTAGCTTTTTACTTATTGTATATGAGACCAGGGAACGTTGGTAATGTTGCTAATGCTACATCCACACCAACATGCTGTTAAATACTAAGCTAATATTAAGTGTGTCTCTGCCCCCCCCCTTCAGTGTCCACCATATTGGATCAGTCCATTTGCTGCACATGTTCAGAAAGGTCCAAACAGACAGCAGCAAACCATTTGAAAACAAACCATGCAAAGAGCAGTGTTGCTAACTTAGCGCTTTAGTCGCTATATTTAGCCACTTTTCAGACCCCTCTAGCACTTTGATTTCTAAAAAGCTCCTAGCGCCAAATCTAGAGACTTTTTTCTGCTACTGGAGACTTTGGTGACAACATCTAAAAGCAGCGAACTCTGCTCTCCAGAGCAAGTAGATTGGTAACCCCGCCTCCTGCTCTCCTCTATCTTGTCTGCTGTCATGATTCATGCAGCTATTATTTCATCCAAATGAAAAATGGAGAACAGAGAAGCAGATCATGGCTTGTCTACAGTGAAAAGAAGGACTGGGTTATTTACTTTGGCCTTTTTGGAAACACAGGAAGGAGCAATCAGCTAAGTGAGCTTAGTGCTTGGAAAAAAGGCAAAAGGAATGTCCGGATGTCCGGATACCTGTCTATGTCTCTTTTATAGACATAGACAGGTATCCGGTATTATGGGCTAACAAAGAACTCAAACGACCCCCATTCCAAAGGGGCGGACCCGCTCGTCCGGTTCAATTTGCATGTTTTCTAAGCCTAAACAAAGTGTTATTGGTCCACTCTATAAAACTTGGAACTCAATGCTATTTCTGACAGTTTGAACTGAAAAAGCTTCCTGGATGGGAAGTGAAATGTTTTCAAACTTAGAAACAAAGTCCGGTGGATTGTTTGTTGAATTTTCTTGGAATTTGTATGAGAAGTAGACTAATAATGTAACGGTTGATCTAAACTGGGAGCCATTTTCCTCCTCGTCTCCTACCTGTCCTCCTCTCCCTCGAGCAGCTTCCTGTATGTGGCGATCTCAATGTCCAGAGCCAATTTCAGATTCATCAGGTCCTGCAGAGGAGAGGGAATAATTCCTTTCATTTGACCTTCTTCCATTTTTGGTTATTTTTTTTATTTTTATCAGTCTGTATCCATTTTCGTTTTTCTTCTCTTTCCTCTCACCTGGTACTCTCTCAGCTGTCTGGCCATGTCCTGTTTGGCTCTCTGCAGAGCATCCTCCAGGTCTCTGGTCCGAGCTTTAGCTTCTTTCACAGCCAGCTCTCCACGCTCCTCTGCTTCAGCCAACTGGTTTTCCAGACTGGCTCGCTGTGGGAGGTAACAAAAACCAATCAGCACCGGTCCTTAATCGGGTTGTATCCGGGTAGACATTGGCTTTTAGACGCACCTGCCCTTTCACAGCTTCTATCTCACTCTGCAAACGGCTGATCAGTCGGTTGACCTCAGCGACTTCTCCCTTCACCATGCGAAGCTCGTCTCCAAACTGGCTGGCTTGCACGGACAAATGATCGAACTGGAAACCATCACACAACCACCATTTCCACCATTAAACATCAGCTGTTTCTGAAAGTTGCAAAAACAAGAACAGGGTTTCTACCTTGTTCTTGTACCAGGCCTCTGCCTCTTCTCTGCTGCGGGCTGCAATCTCCTCATACTGGGCTTTGACCTCGGCGACTATCTGCTCCATATTCAGGCTGCGGCTGTTGTCCATCTGCACAACCACTGAGGTGTCTTTGATGCTGGCCTGCAGCTCACGCAGCTCCTGGAGCAGAAAACAGACACAATGCTTTTATTTTCAAAATGTGGACAAAGATATTTTTTCACGCGGCTTATGTTTGATATAAGGTTGAAATGTTTTCCAACCACTTTGTATTTGCTGCTTAAGGAAGATCCAACATGTTTGGTGAAAGTACTGCAGCAATATTTCATCATTTTCTATTTGTCCTAAATGAAAGGAGTTTATGGGACAAACAATGGAAAACCATCAACAGTCAGGAACTGAAAAATAAGCTCCTTTAAGGAGAAAGCTTCCTTACCTCCTCGTAGATGTTGCGAAGGAAGTGGATTTCATCAGTCAGAGCTCCGACTTTGTCCTCCAGATCTGCTTTGACCAGGTAGGCTGAATCTACGTCCTGAAAAACAAACAAAGCCCCAAAATAACAAAATATGTTCAAAATCCTGGACCAAAAATCTGTGGCATTATGATGTACAGTATAGTCATCTTCTTTAAATCAGTACCTGTGAACACAAGACTTGTACTTTTTAAAGATAAAACTTTTCATTAGGCTCTCTTTTCTAAAGGTAACAATAATTTTTTATTGATCTTATTTAATATTCTAATCCTAAATGTCATGTTTTCACTCGCTGTGAGCAGATAATCGTAATACTTAACAGAAATAAAGGCTTGTGTGTAATTAATCTTTATAATGATCTGTAATGAAAGTGAGTAAATGAAATACATGATATTTCAAAAATATTCGTTCAATAAAAAAAAAAACAAAAGTGTAATAATATTGATAAAATCATAATTTGATGTCAGGATAGCTACTAGAGGGGGAACTTCTTTTAAATCTTTCATGACATCATTATCTATGATGACAATGGTGCAAACGCTCTGCAAATGCTTAAAATACAGCAAATACAGAAAGTAACGCAACGCGACAATGAGGCTAAAGCCGGGCGTACACTTTACGATTGTTTGCCCTTTTCGGGCCGATTTTTCGGTCGTGCGAGAATTTTCTGAGCGGGCTGACTTTCAGCCTGATGGCGTGCCCTTCGTTACCCCCTGCATGCCCCTGTACACTACAGGGGGTAACGAGGGGCGATCAGCCTCTCACGACCACCTCCCCATCAGGAATCGTGCTGTCGGGATAAAATCAAATGTTTTTCAAATATTTGAAATTCAGTCGGCCGTCATAAGGCGGTCGTGGGCAAATTGCTCCGTGCGCAAACAAGGATTCTTCTTCTTCTTCTTGCTCTCAGATGTAAACCCAGCATCATGGCGGGGGTGCAAAGAGTGAAATGGAGTTCTTTCTGTCAAACTGACAGACTGTAGTAGCCACGTTTGCTCAGCCATGTCTTTGTCCAAATACGTCGTCTCCTTTTCTTTTTAGGACTTTCAGCTCAGAATTGCCCAAATATCCAAGGCAGCGCGTTTCTCTCTAGTGAGCTTCTTGTTCCTCTGCTACTGGTTTGGCTTCTGGATAGATGAGTCTGAGTAGCTCCATCTCTCTGCGGAGCTGAGTCCCACCTTGCTTTCAGACGTACAGGTAGATCGCATCAGAGCGTCGGGTCGCACAGTTAACTTTTAAACCCTGCGCTTTTATCGTACAGTGTGAGCTGTAGCTGCAATTGAATAAATCGTACAGTGTGCGGCTTAACACAAAAAACCCATGCAAAGGAAAAATGCTGAATTCACAGAGAGCAGCAAATGCACGGCAATTACAAAACCTGCTGCAAACACTTTAATGATGCAAAGCAACACTTTTAGCATCATTTCTGTATTTGCAGGGCGTTTACTCTTTGCTGCTCTCTGTTTTCAGCATTTGCAGCATTTTTGTTTTGCATATGGGCTTTGGGTTAGCCACATGTGGTGTCTTTTGCAGTACTTTTTGTATTTGCTGTGCTTTTATCCTATGATAAAAAAAAACTATTTTTTTTTTTTTACATCTTGGTAAATTCCTTTTTAAAAAAAGAAAAAAGAAAAGAAACATTACGATACAGCAATTAAAAATTCACCTATAACTTCAGTGCTGACTCAGATATTTAAAGCTTTCATTTGCAAATAGGCTGCACTGGAAATATTTTTTAATATATTTGTATATCTATATATCTGGAAATAGATCTAGATTTAAAGAGTTTTTAAGTCTTTCTTAGTTAAAGAAACATTCATGCTGTTCTAATGTTTATTTTAAGGAATTCATGAAATTGTAGCTGATCGGTCTTTTGTACCTTTATTTTTTTGGATCTAATCCTCTGTTATTAGGCTGGGAAAAATGTTTGTTGTTAAACCATTGTACACAAATATCAGCATCCTGTAGAGGAAACTTTAATCTCTTTATTGCAAAAAAAAGTTTTTTTTTTTTATCTAGAAAAAACATAAAATGGCAGTTCTTTCTATGTTCAATATAAATATCTTGTGTAGATATTTATCAACAAACTCGGACTCTTTGTCTCTTTGGATTGTGAAGGTTTCAGTTTGCTGATACAGACAGAAATAAATGACTCTATGAGGTTTTTAGAGGTTTATCTGTCCTGACCTTCTTCAGGATAACAAAGTCATTCTCCATGTTGTTCCTCTTGTTTATCTCCTCCTCATATCTATGACAGACAGAGAACACGTCAGCGTTTAAGGAAACATATGATGGGAGATAAAAGGACTGTTGCTTTACTTGTGTTTGAAGTCTTCCACCAGACCCTGCATGTTCCTCAGCTCCCCGTCCAGTTTGGTTTTGTCGTTGTTGACCAGGTCCATCTGACGCCTCAGACCCGCCATGTAAGACTCGAACAGGGGCTCCACGTTAGAGCGGCTAACTCCCTGGGCCTGCAGCAAGTCCAGTTTAGTCTCAAGCATTTTGTTCTGCTGCTCCAGAAAACGAACCTGGGTGAAACGAGAATTAGAATAAATGCCTCTGATTCCCATGTTGTGCCTCAGTGTTAGCATTTTGATTTGCGTGAAAAAAAATCTTGTTTATTCAGTCACATTAAATGTCTGCTCAGACTTCCTCACTTTCTGATTTCATTCAAGGAAGTCTTAAAATGATGGTCAGGATCTCCAGGTTTTTGGTTTTATTTTTTGTTTGTTATGTATTCATGTTTTTTAAGGCCTTGGCAATTTTATAAAAGGCTTGTTTTGTTTCTTAGTTTGATGTTTCCTTTTGTGCATTTTGATTTATTGAAGTAATTTTTCTTTTTATCTTGGTTTAAAGTGCTTTGTTGGTTTTGGCAGGTTGCTCTTAAAGGTATAGAGGACAATCTTTTATTTCCAGGTGGATCATCTCAATAAGTGGTCCTTCTAACTGTCAATCATTCTGGTGATACGTTTATGTAACGCCATCCTACATGCTCGTCCCGTTAGCTATCTTTTTCTGTGCATGTGCTCTTTCAGGCGTATATCTGTGGTGAGCTGCGGTTTCAGACAGTCATTGAAGCTCACCTTTCTCACCACGGTTCTTTGAAAATGGCCGAGGGTCGGAAGAGAAACAGTGTCTACGAAATATATGAAATGAAAAGAAAGGCCTCAGAAGAGGCAGTTTTATCCCAGAATGCTTTGCATGGAGAGCTCTCCTCGCAAAGCATTATGGGATTTGCTGCCATTGGCTGTCGCTACCCAACAGCAGCGACTAATAACAAAGATGGTATCGGGTCGCCAAACGTTCTGTATTTAGAAGTAGAAGTACCACTCCCGTATTAAGTGGAAAAGAAACGCACTTGGTCCCGTATTACTGTGAAAGTAAAAAAATAGTCGGTAAAAAGCTAATGGAAAATGAAAAACCTGTTAGATACAAAACTTACGGTAAACTTCTTCCCATGCCCTTTCCTGCCTTTTTAACCTCACTGTCAAACTGTTTGATACTGTTTTTATTGACTGCCTGTTATTCTGCTCATGCTCCAGGTGTGAGCGTGCATCATTGAAACAGGGGACTGGGTTTGAATCCCTGTTTCATCAGGAGGAGTTTTCTACTCCTGAACAACAGGGCCAAAGGACTCCCTCACAGTGATGACCTTCTTCAGCAGCGAGCTGTTCAGATTTGTAGGGAGGAATTGAAGCTAAATCCTTGAAGAAAACTTTTCAGAGGCAACAGGAGACTTGAGACTGGTATGGGGGATCTCCTTCCAGCGGGAGAGTAAAGCTGATCGACCCCAATGCAGGTGCAGAAATAGGCATTTCTGCAAAGTGTTTAATAAATATAAACATGTGCTGCACTTTATAACTGTAAAACCTTCACAGGCTCAGGTGGCTATCCAGGATCATCCACTCATCTTTTTAATCCCATCTTTAAATGTCACACATTGGGTTCTATTCTATTCTATTCTATTCTACTCTGTTCTATTCTATTCTATTCTGTTTTGTTCTGTCGTATTGTATTCTATCGTGTTCTAATTTATTATGTTCTGCTCTATTCTATTCTGTTCTATTCTATTACATTTTATGCTGTTATATTCTGTTCTACTCTATTCAATTCTGTTTTGTTCTGTTGAATTGTCTTCTATTGTGTTCTAATCTATTCATTCTGTTCTATTCTACTCTGTTCTATTCTATTCTGCTCTATTCCATTCTGTTATATTCTATTCTATTTATTCTAATACATTTTACTCTGCTCTATTCTATTCTGCTCTATTCTATTTTATTCTATTACATTTTATGCTGTTATATTCTGTTCTACTCTATTCTATTCTGTTTTGTTCTGTTTAATTGTCTTCTATTGTGTTCTAATCTATTCTATTCTATTCTACTCTGTTCTATTCTATTCTTTTATATTCTATTCTATTTATTCTAATACATTTTACTCTGCTCTATTCCATTCTATTCTACTGTATTCTATTCTATTCTACTCTGTTTTAATCTATTCTATTCTGTTTTCTTCTGTTGTATTGTCTTCTATTGTGTTCTAATCTATTTCATTCTGTTCTATTCTATTCTACTCTGTTCTATTCTATTCTGCTCTATTCTATTCTGTTATATTCTATTTTATTCTATTACATTTTACTCTGCTCTATTCCATTCTGTTCTACTTTATTCTATTCTATTCTACTCTGTTTTATTCTATTCTGTTTTATTCTATTCTGTTTTATTCTGTTGTATCGTCCTCTATTGTGTTCTAATCTATTTCATTCTGTTCTATGCTATGCTGCTCTGTTATATCCTGCTCTATTCTATTCTATTTATTCTACTGTATTCTATTCTAATCTCCTCAGTACAGCCTGTTGAAGTTCATATTCGTTTTGATAAACTGATGTCTTACATGTTTTGTAAATATTTATAATTTAGTATTTTGTTTATTTTTAAATTCAGTTTAAAGGCATTTAGAAAAATTCAAACTATATAATTAACTGAAGGTTTGGGTTTTATGCGCTTATATAATACAGTTATACGGGTTTTAGGGTAAATTAAATCACAAATGAATCCATATTGTTCCGAAATCTTCTCATTCATGAGCATCACTGATCATCCCCATTGCAGATGCAGAAATGGGCATTTCTGCAAAGTGTTTAATTAATATAAATATGTGCTGCACTTTTCAGCTTTTTTATAACTGTCATCTTTCATTTCATCATTCTTTATTTAGTCATCACCAAAGAAATACCAATAAAATGGAAAGTTGTTTGTGCTTGGAATTGGACAAAATGCTGTAAATGTTACAGTTCGAGTTTTGCAAAAATTAAGTAAAGAAGAAGATGGACCTTCTCGTCAAACATCGTCCCAGAACAGTTTGTGTTCAGCTCAGGTTTCCTGCCTGCAGTCCAGTCCAGACAAAGCCTGGGTTCTGTTCGGAGCAGAATAATGGGCCTATGCAGCAGCGCGGCATCCTGCCCGACCGGATTGATCAGGTTACAGCCTCACTCAATGGGAATCAAATGGGTCAGTCGGCTTGAATATCCAGGATCATCCACTCAGAGAGCGGCTTTCTCTTTTTAATCCCATCTGAATTCTTCATGTTTTTTGGGTTTTTACAGAATGTTTAAATGTCACTCATGAGATGGTTTCTGCAATAAGAAGTCTCAGCGAATGCCATTAGATCCCATAATGGTTCAGACTTTCATTTAGATTTAAAGTAGGTCACCACTCAACCAGTGCAGCTCGTCTCTAACATCCAACTCATTGCTTCTCTGCAGGAGAGAATTTGGTTCTTTAATGTTTGATGAAGAGCGAACAGGTGGGATTACATTACTGCAGGAAACTTTCACTCTGCTTCACTCTGCTTTTCATTTATTCCCCATTTCTCATGGTTTAAACCTCTCTCAGTGAGACGTGTTGTTTCATTATTAAACAGGATTTTTCATGTATCTATAAAGAAATAAACATGCTTTATAAAGCAGGGTCATTAGTTCCTTTATCTAACATCTGTAATCTCTGCCCTAATCTACAGAGCTGAATGAAAAAAATGTTAATATTTAAGTAAATTAGATTTTACATTTGCTTACATAAAACACTCTGTTTAAAAAAAAGGACGCCATGAAAAAATGAAATAAATAATTTAAGATGCAGATCTTAAGCTGAAACCCAAAGAGCTTCTATAATTTGTTCATAGTAGGAAAATATGCGTCAGTAAACTAGGAATAAAATAATAAATCAGATAAATCGTTTTAATCGATTATTGAAATCGTCAACTGAACTTAGAACAGGAAATAACTGTAACTGGGTTATATTTTATTTTCATAGGTAGAGTTTGTATTTGAATGTGAAGCCTTTAATTTCTCTATTCTATTCTACTCTGTTATATTCTGTTCTGCTGTATTGTATTCTACTCTGTTCTATTCTATTCTGTTGTAGTCTGTTTTATTCTACTCTATTCTATTCTACTCTGTTATATTCTGTTCTGCTGTATTGTATTCTACTCTGTTCTATTCTATTCTGTTGTAGTCTGTTTTATTCTACTCTATTCTATTCTACTCTCTTCTATTCTT